CGTTTTAACCTCCCACCCTCAGTCTCTTCTTGGGCGTCCCCAGGGTCCACGGCTGTTTCTCCGCGTCCCCAGGGTCCACGGCCTCCAAGCAGGAGAAGCACCTGGCCGAGCGATTTGAAGCACGGACGCCACTTCAAGCCATTTGGGTTGCCCAAGACTCACACCAACCAAACAACCCATATCAACTTGCTTGCAGCCCATGAAGCCAAAAGCCGCCCACCTTCAGCCTTCCTTTGTGTTCAAGCTTCAGCGAATCCTGGGCGACCCGCACTCCCCGGGCTTGGCGACGGGATCCCCCTTGGACACCGCTCCAGCCAGGTCCAAGTTCACCTTCGTGAGCGTTCCGGCGATATCCACCTGCGCGCCCCCCACCCTGAACAGCCCTGGAGGCTTGGGAGGAAGGGCCGTGGAGGCCTGGGGGGTCTTCATTCCTCCAAAAGAACAAAAAACGATGTGTCGCTGTTCCGTTCTTTGGTAGGTGACCTGCTAAGCAAGTTTTTGTGACGATATAGTCCATCGACTCGCGTTCGGTGATGGCAACAACATCTGTGATAAATAACGGATACAAAAAAAATGTCGAAATACTTTGTTTATACTATAATCAACCGCCTTAACCTTCACTTCAATCGGACCTTCCCGATCCAAACGGATATTCCCGTCCCCAAGGTTCTAGCCCTGTCCACCTCCCATCGTCTCGTCATCGTCCAGCCTGGTTCTCACCCTTGGAATCGACCGTGTCCACCGACACCTGGATGACTGGTCAGGGCCGCCCCAATTCGGTTCCACGCACCGACCACTCCGACCGAGCACCATGTCCCCCCTGAGGCCCTCAGGGGGACCTTTCCTCGTGACCGAGAGAGCTCTCCTCATCGTCCGAGCTCTTCAAGCACACGGCGACCGGGGTTCACCCCGGCCCCCCCGTTCCCTTGCGGGGAGGCGGCTGTTCTTCGAGGTAAGAGTAAAAATGGGTGCTCCGATCACAGCTGCGTTCGGATCACAGCTTTTCCACTTCGAAGCGCTCAAAGACTTTGCCTGATTTTCACGTGACTACTCTTTGGAATCCCTGGTCCTATAAGCCACTTTTACCCGCCTCGTCGCAACGGAGGTGAGGGAAAGTGATGTTGAGACCAATCCTGAGAAAGTCGCTCCAAATGAGCGATCATGCTGTAGCCACGAAAAAGGCAGAGGCACCGCCGGACATTGGCTCGTAATGCGGACAAAAACAATCTTCCCTAAACTTTTCCAAGATTCTTGAACCATCCGGGTGTCCTAACTTCAATTCCACAACAGTGCATAACATAGTTGCTTCAGGCACAACTCAAGAAAACCCCTGGTTCAATGTTTGGATGATTCATCGCACAACATCGCCCACGTCTTCGAGTCTATCAAACCACCAAGTCCCGAGATCGGCTCACCTTTGCCCTCAACTTTGTGTGGCGCATTTGGAGGGTCCACAGTCGACGCTGAGGATCGGCAGCTTCTGATTGAGCGAGGTGTCGACCACGATGTGGTCCTCAGCCGATCCGCAGCGAACGGAGCCCGCGCCCAGGCGCCAGAAACGCGGCGGACTCAGCATGGAGAGCTTGCTCCGGAGAGGTGAAAACAAGGGACCATGATGAACCATGTCACATCGGCCATGTCACCGAGGCCATCCTCCCACCATCCATCCCGACGAAGCCGCGGGACAAAGGCCGTCGAGCACCGATGGCCAACCCACCGGTCGCGAACGACGTTCAGCGCGGGCGATCGGGGTCCTACACCCGACCTCCGCCCCCAAACGCCCAGTCTCGGCAGGGGCGTCTTCCGTCCCATTCCGGCGATCGAGATCGCCCGTCCCGGGCGTCGAGCATGCCAGGAGGTTCAGCTTCGCTCGCTCCGAGGTGCGAGGATGTCGGCTCTGAGATAGCTGGAGAGCTCCGACAAGAAGAGCACCGCCTCGGACGGATGACATCGCTGGCGCGAGGACTCGAACGCGACGGCCGGACTCGAACGCGAGTCAGCGTCATACGGACCCCCGAACTCTTGGGGGTGGGCGGTTTTGGGTGGAGCCCTTGGGTTTGTTGGTTTTGGTGAAGACTGACGTGGTGAAGACTGGCAACGAACTGGTAAGTGAGCGAGGCTTCTTCAGAGAGACGCCTAGGACGATGTGCCAATGATGTCTCTCAGTAGTTGCTGGTTCATTGATTAGTTCTAGGATTCTACGCAAACCACTTGCGATGGAGGAAACACATGGAAACACCCCAAAACCTCCCTGACTGGCCCCGAAATGCTCCCAGGCCCAGCAGACCGGTCCAGATCCTCAACAGACCTCCCAAGTCCGATCCCACGACCAATGGTTTAAAGAACTCCCAGTGGCCATGATCAGCATGGAGACGAGGGAGATGATCCCGCCGCTCTGTGTCTTGATCCGGTAGTCATCGTGCACCTCCCGGACGAATCCGGACGAATGCACCTGAGGTGCGCCACCCGCCCCTGGCGAATGGCAGCCAACAACTCGATGAAGACCCAGGCCCCATACAGAAGACCTTCGTCCCCATCTGCGCAGGTCAACAAGGAGTCCCCAGCTGCGCAGGTTCACTTGGTTTGTATCGCACTTGGTCAACAAGGACTTTCGCAAACTAAGACTCCTGCAAGGATTTCTGCCTTGATTGCTGCTCTACCTTGTCCCTGGATCTAACAAGCAATAAGCGAGTTAGTGATCAAATCCAGGGTGGAAGCCGGACCAGTGAGGAGAGTTGTTCATGGTAATTCAGGACAGGAACCCTTGGGCTCATCACTAGCACTAGCATCACTAGCGGAGACCAATCCGTTTCATTACCAGCAGGGCCGCTCTCCCACCTTGCCGTAGAGGTCAAAACGTTTCACAGATGTTGTACCCGCCGACGGCCGCATGGCACGGTGGCTGGGCCGAAGGGTGGCTGCTGAGCGGTGCGTTTCACACATGGTTTCTGATCGTTTTCTGTGATCCAAAGACCCGAGTGGGTTCCACCCATGTCTCTGGATTTTTCACCTGCGTTTCTTGGTTGACACCATTCCATGTTTCTAAGTGGGGCTGGCAAGCAGTGCACCAGTATCATTTTTCCTGATCAGAAGCTGAGGACCGGAAGCTGGAAGGTCAATCGCCAGTTGCATGTACCACACAGATCTGACCATTTGGCGACGTTGAGAACCAAATTCAACCCATGAATTGGTGTTGCTTTGAGCCCAGGTCTTGACATGTGACATTTAAACACGTGTCAAAAAAAAATGAACACGTCATGTCTTCTAAAGATGTGGTCATGTGGGATCTAAAAACACATATGTTTACCGCGTGAGAACCTGACCCTCACAAACTCTGATAAGCAGCATTGTAATTTCAAGGCTAACAGTGCTCCAAAGACACAGAAGGTCAGCACAACACACCCAACTCACAAGGTCAGCACACTTGGACTCACAAGGTCAGACACAGAACCGATGCAAAACTTTCCACATAGCAAGTTTTGCCCCGATCCAAGTCTCTCCCCCACGTCCCATCTGAGACGGACGAAAGCACAAAACACACTTGTTCAAAGCTGACATGCCCATCTCTGGAGTGCAAATTCCAATGCATCGACCATAATTGCCCCACCCTTCAATTCCGTTATTGCAAATAAGGTTATTTCGCTTTGTACTCATTGTCAGCTGTCGGCCAAGGACCCTTACGGCCTTACGGCTTTTTAAGTAAGCGCTAGGCGATGACAACAACTGGAAGTTTTTCTCTGTGAGTTGCCGAGGCCCCAATGATGCAGTCTGACCTTGGTTGCTAATTCAAACAGTGGGCACACAAGAAGTTTATGTGTTCCTTGTCGAGAGGAGAAGTTGAAAGCAACCCCATTCCTCTGAGTTGGTCTTTGCCGCCCCACACCACACGTGTTTGGTTTATCTCTATGCTCCTACTCAACCTCTGTATCTAGTTAGTTGCACACATCACACATGTATTTCCAGACTGCCATCACACTCCGGGGCAAGCCGAAAAAAAGACGCTCATCCTTCCCAACCGCTGCATCAGCCTCCAAAGGGTCAAGATCAACCCCCTCTCCCCACCGGGCGACCACTTCGACCACCAAAGGACGACCAGGTCCCGACCTGTTCAGGTCGGACCATTCCAACATCACGACGGTTGCGGACAACGATGAACACTTCTACCAGGAGGGACTCTCGCTTGTTGCTTTGATTCTCCCACAAGGACTCTACTGAGATACAGTTTGTATGCCATGATGATTGGCTTGAGTCTTCACACTCATTAAGCAAAACCTCAAAGCGTATGCACCATTGAACATACACACCAAGCACGTCTTGCTTTACCTCTTTGATTATATACATCAAGCAAGAGCTAGTCTACCCGACTTGGCCCGACGCCTCCCCTCCAATCTTTTCAAAATCAGACTTTTAAACCACGCGCAGTCTCTTTGCGACAATCTCCGAAAACAAGCAGCTCACTTTGGAACTTGAACATTTGCTTGAAATGCCTCAAAGAAATTTGCCTAAAAGTGGAGTCTCACTCGGTGGTGGTGATTTGGCAGCCTTGCGGAAGCAAAGTGCTCAGTAATTCCCAGTGTTTGAGTTCAAGAGATCTCTCATCCACAAAGCAGATTTCGGAAGTATGTCGCGAGGGTCTTTGAACTCCGGTGCGGTTCTAATAAAGCTCATCGACGTATTCCTTGGGAAAGTTTCCGTACTGTGTCGGCATCTGCTCAGCCACTCTCGAAACAGCCAAGTTCTGGTAGGTTGCCAGGGTAAACTGAGACCGCATGCACGTGCTGTTGAGAGCCTTTTGCCTGGTGTACAGGCCATATGCCAAGCGGACAACGTCAAAGGCTGTGGGCGGCTCAGATGGATTGATATTCCGTTGCACACGGAGATCTACACCCATCTTGCAGGACTCCCACTCGGTGCCTTCCAACCTTTTTGTGGCATTGCAAACTACAAAA